AGCTCTGTTTCAAGAAGATGCTGCCTTTGGTAGGAATCAGGAATAGTACAACGTCATGAATTCATATTATTGAATATGATCTCATGAATAATTCGCGCACCCTTAGTGTTTGCCTGGAATCAATTATGGAAGTAAAGGGATCCTCTTTCCTTCATTTCATCACTTCACTACTACTACTAAGTATTGGAACTCTTGATGTGTTTTTCGACAATCATTTATAGTTATCCGGTAAGGGACGTCGTTATGTTGGGGCGGCACGAGAAACTCGGTCGATGGGTTCCTCACATACTTACCCATACAGACCAAATAGCCCACTTTTAACGCTTTCTGGGAGAGGAATGGGAAAACTTGCTCGGAAGAGAAGTAAAGTTCATGCGCATATAGTAATGTTAACAGCCGTACTGGCCATCATATTTTCTGTCCATGTTTCGGCGGGTAAAAGGTCCGCTGCTCCATCAGTGACAGAACAGATCTGCCGTGAGTTTCAATTCCATAAACTCCGAATTCGCAAAGCGTAGGCTTTTTTTGCTATTAGTGGATGTGTTGGAGGTTATCAATCGTAACCGATCAACTTCTAAAATCAACAATGAGAAGTAGTAGCTATGCAGTCATTCGCGGTCCAACCAACAAAAAAAGCGGTAGATAACGCTCACAAAAGAGTAAAACGAGAATAGTCAGCAAGCGGATAGAAACGAGACGGGGAAAATCGAAAACAGAAGAGAATTTATTGCGGCAACATACGACTCTTTCCTCAGAATCATATACGGCTACTTAGAAGGCGTGGGGGTGCTGATTCGGGTGCCGATTATCGAGTGTTAGCCCTCTTCTCGGTTCATTCGGAACGTAATTCAGAGGAAGTATGCAGTCTTGTTCGGTGCGGATGAAGGGGCGCGTGAGGTGGGATGTGTTTGGTCTGACCCCAAACCCGTTGACTGTAAGCTGCTGAAGCGGTGAGCGGGATCGGTGGGAAACGACCGATGCGAACTATACCTCTTGTCGCCTCGACAGCTGGTGGGGATCGGCTTTAACGCCGCGCTAAACCCGTCCCGCCTTACACGCGCTTTCATCCGCAGTGAACAAGGGTGTAATGAAAGTGTACTAGCGAACAATTTCAAAAACTCGTGGGCTGTGGTGTAGTTACGGGGACCTCTTTTTTACGCAAGGCCGAGCTGTGCCGTCATTGTTAGTGTAGAAATAGTCCGTTCTGTTCCCGCATTCCTACGAGGAGCAACTGGCATTGGCTTATTACCGTGTAATTTAGTCTTGAAAATCTGATGTTACTTTTCTATAGTTTTCCATTCATAAGTCTTCCCGCGACAGTTAAACTAAGTGATTTGTCTCCAGTATTAACCGCTCTTATGCCATAATTTAGGTGAATATAACGGTTGTAGAATTGGATCCTGTAGTGGCGGAGATTGCACGGGCATGGTTTGGTGTGACAGAATCAAAGAATCATCATGTGATTGTGGATGATGGATTAAAATTTATTGAAAAAGAGGCCAAATCAGGTAAATATCAACCGAGTTTTTCACCTTACTTACTCAAAGACCATGGATGAGCTTATCTGTGTATTTCACCTTGTGATTAGGAAACAAATTCGACGTATTGGTGTTGGATGCGTGTGATGAAGCGATAAGATCTCCATGTCCAGCAAAGGCATTCCGAAGAAGGGAAGTTATAGAGATGATGAAAGGCGTCTTAACAGATACAGGTCTGTTGAATTATTGAAATGCACAATGCCTGTCGCTCCCAGAGAATGAGGGTGGAAGTATATCGTTCGTGCACGTACTGCTGATAGTCCTGCTTTTGTAACCGGTCGAACTTTTGCTGTTATCGTAAGCGAAATAAGGCTCCATAAGATTCACCGGCAACGCGCACGCGGCGCGTACTGAGTGTCGTCGTAACAGCCACGTTAGGCGTAAAGCCAGCACTCCGCCTTCAGACAGAACGAACTCTGTGGCGAGACGCGTCGACG